TAGCCTAGTGGTTGCTCAATATAAACTTCTTCTTCGAGAAAACCATTCAAGAAGGCTGATTTCACATCCATTTGATAGATCTTCCATTTATTTTGGGCTGCCAAGGAAATGATTAGTCTAATAGTTTCAAGACGAGAAACAGGAGCAAATACCTCATCATAGTCAATTCCTTGTCTTTGACTATAGCCTTTCGCCACCAATCTTGCTTTGTATCTCTCCACATCTCCTTTTGCATTCTTCTTTGTCTTGTACACCCATCTTACTCCAATTGCTTTATGTCCTTGTGGAAGTGTAGTAAGTTCCCATGTATCATTCTTCGTGATAGACTTGATTTCTTCGTCCATGGCGTCTCTCCAGTTTATGTTTTCTACCGCTTCTTGATAGCTTAGAGGCTCACAATCACCAAAAAGACAAAAGAGGTTAATGTCATTTTGGTTTTCGGTTACCTCATAAATCTCTTCAATGCTTCTTGGTCGTGGTGTCTTCTCACTTGAACTTGTTTCATCCAACCTTGGTGTCAGTGAGGAAGGTGGTGTAATATGTTCCTCTATCATTGGTTGTTCCATTTCTTCTTCTTCTTCTTCAAAGTAAGGAAGAAAATCATACCTGTCTTCTTGAGCACTCCAATCCCAATAACATTTTTCGTCAAACTCCACATCACGACTTATGATGATCTTTCCACTATTTGGGTTATAAAGCTCGTACCCTTTAGAGCTTGAGTCATAACCCACAAACACATACTTCTCACTTTTATCATCGAGCTTTGTTCTTCTTTCATCTGGAACATGGGTATAGGCAATGCTTCCAAATACTTTGAGGAGAGAGATCCCAGGTTTCCTTCCACTCCATGCTTCTTGGGGTGTCTTTTCATGCACACTTCTTGTTGGGGAACGATTTGTCGAGTAAACTGCATATGCCACTGCTTCGGCCCAAAACTCCTTCGGCATCTTCTTGCTCTTGAGCATGCTTCGTACCATGTTAAGTATAGTCCGATTCTTTCTCTCTTCTATTCCATTTTGTTGAGGCAATCTTGGCACAGTCAGTGGGCGACAGATTCCATGGTCTTCACAATATTTGTTGAACTCATTTGAAGTGAACTCTCCTCCTCGGTCAGATCTCATGGCCTTGATGGAAAGACCATTTTCTTTCTCCACAAGGGCTTTGAACTTCTTAAAGTTGTCAAATACTTCTGACTTCTCCTTCAAGAAATAAACCCATATTTTTCTAGAATAATCATCAATAAAGAGGAGAAAGTATTTATTCTTACCAAACGAGTTGGGTTTGATTGGTCCACAAACATCTGTGTGTATGAGCTCTAGTGGCTTTGTCGCTCTTGACGTTGATTCCTTTGGAAAACTTTTTCGGAATTTCTTCCTAATTAGACATCCTTCATAGAGTTGGTCTTGGTGGTTGATCCTAGGCAAGCCTCTCACCATCTCTTTCTTCGATAAACGTTCTAGACCATCGAAGTTGAGGTGCCCGAATCGTAGATGCCATAGCCATGAAGAATTGGTATAGCAATCCTTGAGACACTTTGCTACGTCATTTTGAATGTTCAAGAGGAACATTTTATTTTTTGACATAGGCACCTTAGGAATCAAGTTATGACTACAATCTCTTAATAAAAGACTATGTTCTTTTAAGTGGATGTCATAGCCTTTCTCTAATAATTGTCCCAAACTCAAAATATTATTCTTCATGTTAGGCACATAATAGACATTGTATATTAATTGATGACTCCCATTCTTCAAGCGTGTGAGAATTTTACCTTTGCCTTTGACCGGTATCTTTGAGTCATCTCCAAATGATACATCACCAGTTTCCGCTTCATTGATCTCTATGAACATGCTTCGATCTCCACACATGTGGTTGCTTGCACCAGTGTCCAAGTACCACTTATTTATTTTCTCTTCAACTTCATTTTGACAAGCGAGTAGCAAAGTTTCTTCTTCTCCACCTTTTTCTACTACAAAATTAGCTTTGTCTTCCATCTTCTTCGAGAATCTACACTCGGTTGCGTAATGACCAATCTTGTTGCAGTTGAAATATTTGACTTGTGATTTATCGCTCCTCGACCATGAGGTGCCTCTTGCATGACCTCTTGTTGCTTGTGGATTCCAACTTCTTTCTCCATTGTTGAAGTTGTTGGAGTAGTTATTGCAACCACCTCTTCCTTCTCATCCATGTCCTCGTCCATGTCCACGATATTGGCCACAACCTCGTCCTCTTTGGCTCTTGTAATTCGCATAGTTTGCTTCCTTTATGTTGAGTTGTAGTAATTGCTCCATAGCCTCCTTTTGTTTAATTTTTCTCTTTTGTTTTTCTTCGTATGCTTGTAAGGAACCCATGAGTTGCTCAATAGTCATGGTCTTTAGATCCTTATTTTCTTAAATATTGGTAACAATAAAGTCAAAACTTGGATTTAAAGTGCGAAGTATTTTCTCCATGACTTTTACATCATCAACATCTTCACCATTTCTCTTAAGTTGATTGACTACAGCCAATACTCGAGAAAAATAATCTGAAATTGACTTGGACTCCTCCATAAATAAACGTTCAAAGTCACCTCTAAGAGTTTGAAGATGAATCTTTTTTACCTGCTCAACTCCTTTGTTGCAAGTTTGATGCTTGTCCCATGCTTCTTTGGCCGTTGTTGCGTTGGATATCTTCTCAAACGTATCTTCATCCACCGATTGATAAATGAGAAAGAGAGCTTTCTTGTCTCTCTTTTTTGACTCCTTCAATGTCTCTCTTACACCTTGACTTAGCGAGGATTTATCTTGATCCTTGAAGCCTTTCTCAACAATATCCCACACATCTTGAGCTCCTAGTAGCGCCTTCATCTTGATACTCCAATTATCATAGTTGTTCTTTGTGAGCATCGACATTTGGAAAAGGAAACCACCATTCTCCATTTTGTGGATCTTGAAGCTCTGATACCACTTTGTTGGAAATAAGACCTTTTATGTTAAGGAGAAGTGTGTGGGAATATTGAAGGTTTGAATATAAATTTGATAAGTAGGATAATTCTTTATGGAGGAGAAGAACTTTGTATTTTTGCTTGATGCAAATGTGTGGGATTACATCTCTATTTATAGTACTCTAAGGAGAACTCTAGACACACTAATTCTAGAGATTTCTCAATTCTAGAGATCCAAAGACCATTCTAGAAAATATTACAATTATAAGAAATATCTAGAGATTCCATATATTACAAGAATTCTCTAGAAAACTACTTAAGCCCAAAATAACTAAGCCCAAAAACCAATTAATAAATTTAGGTCCAAATCAAGTTTAATATTTTCAACAGTAAGTGTGAAAATTTGGTGTTGAAATATCATTTTTGTTAAAAGAACTTACTAGCATTAGTTGATCATTTGAGGCACTAGTAGACATCATTTTTACTTAAAATTTCCTTTGGCTACCAAGATGGACCTTATAATCAATTATTATGTGATCTTCCATTGAAACTGTTATAACCAGCAATAACTCCGTGTTAGGATTTCCATTTACCTTCTCGTGATATCAAAACCCTATCATTGGCAAGTCTTTACTCTATGATCTAGTATCAGTTGTTGACAGAATGAGGCTCTCCAATGGTGGATCTATGTCATACAATGTCTTCCTACGGATCTCTTCAATGATGAAGGGTTGAGGTGGTACAAGATCAAGGAATTAGAAGAGTTATTTAGTTATATGTATGAGGTTCTTCATCTTATGGCGGTTGTGAGATAGATTTGGCTTCTAAATCGAGAATGATTTGACTGTGGAATATCACATGAATTAGAATTCAATTACTACAGACGGCGCCATTGTTCTTCGTGGGAACCAAATTTTGTGTTGATTGACGATGTTGGATTCATGAAGCGATAATGTTGATCTCTAATACAATAACGCATAGTAGACTTGCAAGGTTAATAATTCAACGTCCAAGTCAGTTATAAAGTCAAAGATGTGTTAAGTAAAATGTAAAGATAAAAACAGTGTATCTTAAGCCTCACGTGCTTTGATTATATATATGTTGGATAATTTTTTTGGACTTTTTATAGTTGGGCAAGATATATGAATCTCTCCTGTCTTAAGCAATTAGACGACATAGAACAATACCATTAACCAAAATTGATTTATTATATAAGTGTTTGTTTTTTGATTTTAGAGAACTCAATAACTAAATTATAAACTATATTAACCACCTTATTATACTCAATCAACCAACTTTATTTTTTCACTTAAGACTAATTTTTAATATCAAGACATTTATAACCAAACAAATTGTATTAACTAAGTTTTTACGCACCATTAATCAAAATTATTTTTGAAAGAGATAAAAAAATCTAGAAAAGTCAAAATTCATATGAATGTTTCTAATGTTCAAAAGGTGAGAACACATATGGTGGTGTGAAAATAGATTTTTGTTAAAAAAAACATACTAGCATTAATTAATCATTTGAGACACTAGTAGACATCATTTTACTTAAAATTTCCTTTGACAACCGAGATGGACCAAGCACGTTACACTCATTTATCTATATGTTTATATCTACTTTTATTATATATTTGTTTTACTTTTAAGTTGTGGGTCTCACTTGGGAGAACCCAACGACCATGCATTGGTTTAGTAAGAAAAAACAACCTTGCATTGATCATTCCGATTTAAGTCTTCGGTCATTATTTAATTCAAGTCTTTGAGAAATATTAATTAACTAAAAAAGAGCCATAGTTTTGGGTGTTTGTTAAACGGCTTTTATGCACCAAGATGATGTAATTAACCACTATTATATTAAGCTTGTAGTAAGTATTCGCTTATTAATTATTTGGTCTTTCCAAAAGAAAATATTTGGTCATTCTTTAATTGAATTTGTTGGTCATTCTTTAATGAAAATCTCTAGTCAATCTTTTTAATTCAAGTTTTTCATCACATAATTACTATATATTGGCATCTCATACTCATCTCATTTGCTCATTACCTTTAACACAAGACTCATAAAATTGTGTTTGAAATGGAGACCATTTGCATCTGCAGTCCAATTTCAAGTTCCCACAATGGTGTCGGTATGAATTTATCTTAAACTCAAAATTAATTCATTTTCTTTTATGTTTGTTAATACTCGAATTCGAAGAAATTTTCTACCTATATAAATGCAGGTATTTTTAGATCAAAGAGAAATCTGCCACCAGCTGATTACTTGTTTAAAATCCAATCGTATTCCTTACTAATGAACAAAAAGTATGAGTCTGGTGTTTTTCAAGCTGGTGAATACAAATGGTCAGTTTTATTTTCATACCTTTGCATTATTTTTCTTCTTTATGGTCATTTGATAAATTTTGTGAGAACTGAGTAATATGATTTATTTATACTATTTTTTTATAGATATTACAATGTTTGTAAATATGAAAAATTAGATTAATAAAAAATAGAAGGTAAGTGAGTAACAAATTGCGCCCCTACTATAAAAATTATGCATGACCAATAGAACCCAGATTTCTTTGTTTCCTAGACAACAAGAGTGTCCCACTAATAAGTTAGTTTGCTATTTATGTAGTTTTTAAAATGATTGATTTTGCGATCTAAAAAGAAGTAGTAATATAAATAATAATATAAATTTTATACTTACCAACCTTGTGTTTGAGTTTTGTTTTATAGGAAATTGGTACTCCATCCGGGTGATAATTCGAGAAGCGATAACAATGGTTACGTATCTTTGTTTTTGAAAATTGTAGAAACAGAGAAGCTTCCTCATGATTGGAAGGTTAATGTAAACTTTAAATTGTTCGTGGTTGATCAGAAACATGCCAATTATTTAACCATTCAAGGTATATAAAAAAAATCACAATTGAAAAAATTAAGTTACTGATAAAAATTTACATAAAAACATATATAAAATTATCACTAAATTTTGTGGTAGGAGAATTAGGCACAAATTTTAATTTGTTTTTGTCTTCATTGATTGTTGTAGATGCTGGTGATGCTGTGAGAACATTTAGTGAAAAGAAAACAAAATGGGGTTTTGAGCAATTAATTTCATTGAGGGATTTTAAAAATTCATCTAATGGATATCTTGTTAAAGATTTTTGTGAGTTTGGAGCTGAAATTTTCGTGATTAACCATTCTAATCAATCAGAAAGTCTTTATATGATCAAAAATCCAACTAAAGATTCTTTCAGTTGGACTCTTGAGAACTTCTCAACGTTGAATGGCCTCTCTGGCTACGACTCAGGAACCATAGCTGTTGGCGAGAGAGACTGGTATAAAAACAAACTAAGCTCAGATATCAATTTCACCGTCTATTAACGAGTTTCAAATAAAAATAAATTTTTATTAATTAAATTATTATCTTATGCAATTTATTATATGTGCAGGAGTTTAAGGGTTTATCCTAGAGGATGTGATAATGAGAGTAGAGATAAATATCTATCTTTATATCTAGAGCTAAAAAATTGTGCAGCAAACAAAACTGTGTTTGCAAATTACACTTTAAAAATTTTAGATCAACTTCATAATAAATATCATTATGAAACAGGTACTAATTTTGTTTAATGATCAGTTTTTCTTATTTTTGGTTTTTTATTACTAATTTAGGGACATAAGAATTATTAGATGACCATGGTTTATTTAACAAGAATTATAATATAGGACATTTTTTAATCTAAAAATTTATGCTAAGTCTTATAACTTCTTATGCTGCAGGAAGTGCTTGGTTTCGTCCTTCAGGTAATTTTTTATTACCTGATATCAAGGTCATAAGAATTATATTATGATTTATTTATTTATTTATTATTAATATTATGTATATTTTTTTCAGGTGCTGCAAGCAACATGATTGGAGCTACTGGTATGATTTACTATGACCACATCTTTGAAATTTTAATATTCAATCATACAAACTTTATGTTCAAATAACACCTATGTAACATTTTTTAAGAACTAAGTAAGATTTAAAAGATTTTGATCAATTTTAAAAATATATAATGAATTGGAAATAAATCACCCTAAATTCAAGAAGTCCTTTGGATTTTTAATCCAAACATAGAAATTTGGTTATCTATTCCTTTTATTCCTGCCAATTATTTTAATATTTGTTATGATATCGGATCCGTTTGTTTCAACTTTACAAAATTAATTTTTCCTTAGTATTTTTGAAAATAGATTTTATAAAATTATTTTTTAAAATATTACAAATTTTTTATATTCATTTTTTTCTAAATTGAAACAATAATTTTGACATTATATAATATAAATATACATTACTTAAAATCAAAACATTATCAAAATCTTAATTTTTTCAAAAAATTGTATTTCAAAAATGATTTTCATGAAAATCTATTTGAAATAGCTTCAAAATTAAATATTTTTTAAAATTTTGATATCTAAAAAATTTTTCAATAAAAAGATGAAATATCTAAAATAAAATTTTAAGAGTAACTATTAAAACTAAATTTTTATTTGAAGTTTTTATGAAAAAAAATTTTTTTAATTTTTTTTACACAATTATAAAACCACAAAAATCATTTTTAAAGAAGTCAAAACAAATCGGCAATCATCTGGAACATATAATACAAAAAATCTTGCTTCCACAAAAAAATATCTAATACAAAAAATTCATTATTAAACATGATTTTGTTCTTCATATTCTAAAGTGAATGTTATTTTTAAAGCAGTCTTTGTGTAATGCACCATTCCTACCAACCAGCTGCAAATCTTTCCACCATACTTTCTTCTGATAATCGATTTTGTGGACATAAGAATTATAATACGATTTTTTATTTACTTTAAAATTTGTGCTAAGTTGTATAATTTTTTTACCTGCAGCAAACAAGATAATTGGAGTATCAGGTAATCATATTTATGGATAATTTGGAATTTTTATATTTAATCATACAAATTTCATGTTCTAGTAAATATTTGTAGAATTCTTTCAATAACTAAGTAAAAGGTAAAATATTTTGATCAATTCTTAGAACATATAATACATTGTAAATGAGATTTTAAGTTTGTATGCCTAATACTTGTACCTTTCCAAAATATCTAATATTTATCTAAGTAAACTTAATTGTGATTCATAATTTACATAAAAAGATACTAATGTTGTTTATCAATGATTCTTAATTTTAATACTTTTTTGACATACTACTTTTGGGCTATAAGAATTATAATATAACTTTTGATGTTTTTAGAAACTTATGCTAAATTATATATTTTTTCCAGCTGCGGCAAGAAATTTGGTTAAAGCATCAGGTAATAGTTTTCTATGATCAGTTTTTTTTTTTTTTAATAACTCAATTTATATTTATAATAATTTGTAGTATTTTTGTAAGAAATGAGCAAACATCAAAAGATTTGGATCAATTATGAGAACATATAAGATATTGAAAATTAGTTTTAAAATCTGATTGACTTTTTTATTCGGTTGTTTAAGTGTCTTCTAAAGTGACTTTTATATTAAAAATGCCTAATACTTGTTTTAGGCGTCTCTCACATGAAAACCTCTATTTTGTATGGTTTTCAATACATTTTTTTGGAGGTTTTTATATTTATGGGGTTAATAACTTCCATTACGTATTTTTTAAAAAACTAAAAAATAAAAATAAAAGTCAGAAAAATAATGTCTTTAGTATAAGAGACCGCACCGTAGATAGTACCGTCATAAAATTAAAATAAACTGAAATTTGTAGAAATGTTATAAATATAATTTCTTATATAAACTTCATTCTAATGATAACATATCGTAAATTTATTTTAATGTAAATTTATAATTTTATTTAAGCATGTATTATTATTGTTTATAAAAACTTTTTATTTTGAAGATACTATTTTACTTAATAAGAAATGTTATTTAAATTTTTTTAGTGTAAAAATTAATGTTAAGTTATCTATTTTTTGTACAGCAAGCAAGTGGTTTGGAACCTCAGGTAATTATTTCTATGACCACTTCTTTATTAATTTGATATTTAATCAAACAAATTTTATGTTCAAATAACACATTGTTGAGCTTTTTCAATAATGTAGCAAACATTAAAAATATTTTTTAAACCAATATGAGAACATATAAGCTAGTAGAAATTTGTTTTTTAATTTTCAGAGGATTTTATTTGCAATTGTTTTAGTGCCTTCTTGTGCAATGTGTTCTACATTTCTAACTACTTTGAAAGAAAAATAAATAAACACTTTATCGAGCCCTTTAAAAAAAAATAGATTTTAAGTCGTATGATTTGTAAAATGTAAAAATATGACATTGATTTTGGAGCATAAGAATTATAATGTAAATTTTATTTATATAAAAACGTATGATAAGTTTTTTTTTTCAGTTGTGGAAAGCGATTTGGTTAAAGGCTCAGGTAATGGTTTTCTATGAACTATTCTTTTTCATGTTAAAATTACACTTCGTAGTCTTTTTTTCCCCCAAGAATCAAGAAAACTTTAAGTGACTTTTAATAAGACTTAATTATTAAATCTGAGTGACATTTAATATCACTAGACCTCAATAAAATTTATTAATTTATATTTTAAAACATTTCACTATAGAAATTGTTTTAGGAACATATTTCTAAATATGTTTAAAATATGACAAATTCTAACATGTGTTAAATGTATGGAAGAAATTTTAAATTTTTTAATATATATATATAAAATCCTAATTTTGTGGATATAATACTATAATGATTTTTAATTATTTAAAATTTTATACTAACTTATAATTTTTGTTCATGTGCAGTAAACATGTTGTATGGAGCTACAGGTAAATATTCCCATCAACACTTCTTTGTTATTTTGATATTTAAACCCACAATGTTAATACTCAAATAACACTTGTTAACATTTTTAAAAAATTGGACATAATATAAAAGTTTAAAATAATGAATGATTCCAAAAAAACAAAATGTTTCAAATATAAATTTTATTCTATTTATATCTTATCCTAAATTTATTTTGATATAAATATAGCTTTATAATTTATGTTGAGTTGTATATTTTTTTTCAGCTGCAGCCGACAAGTATATCGGGGCTTCAGGTAATGGTCTTTTACAACCTCTTTTTTGTTATTTTGATATTTAATCACATGATTTTTTTTTAAGCAATAACTTCTATCATTTTTGCAACTAAGAAATTCTTAAAAGATTTTGATCAATTTTAAAAACATATAAATATGGGAAATTAGTTTCTATAACATAAGTGGTTTTTAATTACAATTATATTCTAATGATATCTTATCTTAAATCTTTTTTAAGTATAAATATAAATATATAATCTATTTAAGCATATACAATTGTTTTTTACTAATATTTTTTACTTTTGGAGTTTTTTTACACTTTGATTTTAGTTACATACCATTTAATTATTATTTTTATTTATTTGAAAATTTATGTTAAGTTGTTTTTTTTTTTCAGCTACAGTTAACAATTGGATTGGGTCAGATAATATTAAGGGATTTACAAAGCTCATATCTCTAAGTGAACTCAACAAAAAAGCAAATGGATATGTAAAAAATAATTCCATAATTATGGAGGTCGATATCCATGTTACAAGAATTAGGACTTCCAAACTAAAATAAAATAAAGATCAATTTCTTTGTTGTGGTTTATTGTGCCTTTTATATAAAGTTGGTTTTAGATTGTTATTATGTATTTTATTTGGGTCTGCTTTATAGAAATTTTCCTTGTAATTCTTCCTTGATATATTTCAAATAAAGTTGGTTGTGCACATTTATCTGAAATTTCTTATTTAGAGTTTATGATATTTAAGTATAAATAGAGTTTTGTAGAAAAGGCAAACACTGATCGGTTTTATAAATTTAATTAATTAGTGTATTATAAATTTGTTGTTATAAAATTTCATACTTAATTTCCATTAATTAGAAAATTTTGTATTTATTAGGTAATGTCTTATAAATAAGATTCATATAAATTTTTTTTAATTGTCTTAAGAAATTATACAAATAATATGATAATGAAACTTTAACTATCAGATGTAATATTTTGTTTCATAATATTTCAATCTATTATAAATCGATATATTGATTTGAAAAAAAAATCAATGACGATGTTTATACATTCTAGAAGGATTGTATGAATAATATTAAAGCATCCCTAAAGGATAGAAAAATAATATTTTGTTATATAGTTCTTGAAGAACTTATCAAGCATCCATGAATGATAACAAAATAATAATTTAGGTATAAATTAATAAATTATCTCCAATAAAATCGGTAATTTTGTAAAATTAACTTATCATTGCTTAGGGACCCATATGAATAATTATATCCGATTTGCACATCTTCCACAACCTAGAGGGTAGATGATGCGGGTATCAACTCTATTTATGTCAAGAGACGAAATCAATAGAGTTGAAAAAGTTTTAAAACAACTTGCTAACGCTTCAGGACTAACAGAGTAAGTTGTATCGCAAATTTTGTATATTTATCACAACCTAGGGGATAAACAATGCAGGTTTGAAATTTGATATTGGAATTGAAATTTGATACTGGAATTGAAATTTGATAATTGAAAATTGAAATATGATAAGTGGAGTTTGACAACTGGAACTTGATAATTGAAACTTGGTAAGTGAAACATGATAACTGAAACTTGATAATTGAAACTTGGTAAGTGAAACATGATAATTGGAACTTGATAATTGAATGTGATAAGCGAGAACTGTTAATTGAAACTTGATTCACTAGGCTATGGATATGAATCGTAGATATACCGTCTAATGTAACTTTTTTTCTTGGTACCTCTAAATGTTATGTATGTGTTTAACCGAGGTATAGTTGAAAAATGAGTAGTGCTAAGATTTGAATTTTGCTTTTCGCAGGTAGCTTATCTGGATAATAGGTTTGAGATTTTTCGAAGTGTTCATGGGCCTGTTTGATTGAATGCAATGCATGGTTAGAATGATTATTCTTAGATAAAAATATGTTAATGCATGGTATTTTTTTTTATGTGATTCTCGTATGTAAGGTGAACCAAATGTTATGAATGATTTTGTTGCTTTGATATGGTTATGCTTTATGTATATGTTAATGCATGGTATTTTTTTGTAATGTATGGTTGGTGATAATGTTATGAGCGGAGTGATATGATTAATTACCTACGATGACCCGCGATGATTGATAAATGCAATGCACGTGTTATATGAAGGTGAACTTTTGACTTAAAGGTAGTCTACCAGACGGGAACTGCATTTTGAAATGATTTGCAAAAACAAACACCAGTAGGTGTACTGGTGTCGGTAAGGTTACCAACATCGATAGGGTTACCAGATGAAAAACACACTAAGGCTCTTAGCGTCGGTAGGGTTACCTGGAGACGTCAATCGAGTGAATGGGAAAATGAACAAACAGTAAGGTTACTAGCATCAGTAAGGTTGTCGGGAAACATCAATCAGGTGATTGGAAAATGAAAAGTCAGTAAGGTTACTGGCATCGGTAAGGTTACTGGGAAACATCAATCATGTGATTGGAAAACGAACAATCAGTAAGGTTACTGGCATCAGTAAGCTTACCGGGAAACATCAACCAGGTAATTGAAAAATGAACAATAAGTAGGTTACTAACACCGATAAGGTTACCGGGAAACATCAATCAGGTGATTGGATTAGGGATTTATGATGTGTGTTATGATTGATGCATGAAATATAATGATTGACCAATACATGTAATGAGTGACTTGGGTATGTATCAATGAATGTTGGATTTTGAAATGCAAATGAATAATTTGGTTTTGGGGTAAACACCGAGTGAAATTGGGCTTTTGTGGTAAATGCCAAGTGAGATTGGGCTTTTGTAAGGTTGTTAGATTCATGTTATGGAAATATGAATGAGGTTATATGCATGGTTCGACGCTAAATCGCAACGACTTAATGAATGCATGACAATGACTCATAATGACTTGGATGTTTTGGCTGGTGCCCCTATGCTGGGTCGTGGATGGCTATGGTTGAGAGGGGTTACTTATATAACAAGGATGCTTGTCACACGATGGTAGGGTATTATGCCAACATGATTTCCCGATACTCTTTTTAAACTCGAAAATTATTGATGTAGGACAGAACTTCACTAGGGATTGTGAAAGTACGAAGAAAGCTTGTCCCTTCGTGGCATGTCTTGCCTCAATTTAATAGTCTTTGTAGAGATTTGCCTTGATATGAGCTTGGAAGTAGTTTGAACATAGTATGCACTTGAGATGGATGATCCCACTACTTTTCACTTTGAAAACCTCTACGCCCTAGATTAACTTGATCTTAGAATAATTTTCCTATGATGAACCCATTTTTTTGAAGTGATTTTTTGGGTCGAGCTTTGCAGCGGTCTGCCCCCATATTTGAATTTTGAAAGGTATGCCCCAATCTTCAGTTTCCGAAAGAATGTCTTGAGAAGGAACTTAGATCTCACCATGATGTAATATGAATTTGATATGGATTTCTCCAAGTATCCGAATCTCAAAAAAGGTATGCCCTTGATTAACTGGTTCTTGGAGGTATGACTCACGTTGACTGAATCATAGAATGATTGCCCCTAGTCAATAGGATCTTCATGTGATATGTCCCAATGATCATTAGGGTTTTCCCTATGAAGTAGTAGGATCCCTGGGTGTTTTTCCCCTATCTAGGAGCTTATTGAAATGAATCGCCTTTGATCAGATCGTGCTTGAGATTTCCTTGATGCTAAGTATCGATCCGCTCATAAAATTGTACATTTTGAAAAGTAATTATAAGTGATGCACATGCAAGTTTTGAAATAAAAATTTATTATGGAATAGAAATGGATGATTAGAAATTAAGACGTGGAAAGTTAATATGACTAGCAATAAATTAACAAATATTTGGAGTCAGATTAACACGAATTTTGTTGAGTATGCTTTCATAGTGAACTTAGCTTCAATTACGAGTTTTAAAGGTTGTAACATGATCAGGTTCACTGTTTAAGATACAAAGGATATAAGTCTCAAAATTTATTTAACCCACCCCATTCTCCTTTATTTTATCCATTCGTAAACTCAATCAACCCAACAGATGCATTCCGCCTGTAAGAGAATTTTCATAGTCACGATGATGAGAAGCGTTGATAAGGTTCAAGCACCTGACGAGAAACATTGATAATTTTTTAGGTGGCCGTCACAAGCTTATTTTCCATTTTTATTTGCTTTCAATCCCTAACTTTTGCATGGACCGATTCTTTTAAATTTTTCGGTCCATCGGGATGCCTTAACTTTTACCTAAGTCATTTTTTTTCTTTTTGAATTAGAGGGCTTTTTTTCTTTTTTTTTTTGAAACAAATATTGAGATTTAGAACTTTTATGACTTCCATGTTAACTTTGGTGAACTTTATCTTTATTGCTTCCTTGATCTTAGATGATGTGTGTGAGGAAGAAGATATTGAGAGCTTTATCTTTATTGCTTCTTCGATCTTGAATGATGAATGTGAAGAAGAGGATGTGCTTGAACCTCTTGCTTAGATAGATTGGTTCTCTTGACATTATAATGCATCATTGAATTAATTTAAGCCTACCATGCACTTGGTTAAACTTAAGGTTTTTTTATAAATAGAAAGAACTCAACCTTCAGGCTCAAGGGGGTTGACTACGAATTATCTCCTTATTTCTCCAGTGTTTAGGAAGTGAAACAATTCCTTACATCATATACTTGGTCTTACTATTGAAAGCCTACATCAACATAATTCAGTTATTTTTATTTACATCATTCTCCCTCAAAGTTTGTTAAAGGTTAAAGAAGAAAATGGAAAGGTGAAAAGTAAAAGTGGAAAACAAATGATATTTATGGATATGGAAAGTGATGATAATGAAAGAGTGAATACAAATGGATTGATTCAAAAAACATGCATGATTATTTTATTAGAATTTCTTATCATTGTACAAGTTTACAGTAGATACAACTTAGCAACAAAGAAATCACAATTGGAAATATTAAAGGCCTAAATATCCTAGGGATGAGCTTCGTTGTGGATCCACCAATCTTGGGAGACATTTTTTTATGTTCTTTCATTGTCAAAGTAAGGGGTGACCCAGGTCTTTTCTTTTGTTAGGCACGCTTGTTTTGCTTATAGGGTAATTGCTCTTGATATTGTTGCCTTTGGTGTATGGGAGATACCCTTAGTAGTGGTATTTGAGGCATTGTGTAGGCATGTAGTTGTCATGGTGAAGGGTTGTATTCCCTCCTCAGTAAGACTTGTAGGACCAAGTTCATTTGAGTCTTCAAGGGTTAATATCCTCCTTCCACAATTTAAGACTTTCTTAAGTTCCTTCATATGTTTCTTGAAGGATGATTTGAATTTGTTCTTGAGTATCCAAAAATCTGCTAGGTGATGATGGTTGGATAAGGGCAAAAGTGGAAATGATATGAACTTTATGCAAAATGTATGTATGAGATGTATGAAAATGCATGGGTATGCAAAAATATTTTTCCTCTTTAGGGTATGCAAATTTTTTTGAAGGTGATGCAATGCAATGCGGGATAAAGATAAAGATAGACCTAAGGACAAAACCCTAATGTGTGATAGTTAAAAGGAAACTCCTACAGTCTAGATATTGCGAT